TGAGCTCTTCGCTTTGGTACCTAGACCTAGACTCTATGAATTTAAGCGCAGTACTAGACTGGTGATAAGTTCTAACCAATTTACAGTTGATCTGGCTAGATACAACCGTAAGTTTTATGCCGACAGGTTCTCTTTTCGCAATTCCCGTTCGTGGAACTCACTTCCGGCTCCATGATTTCCAGTCAACGCCGAAATTTAAATGCAATGTCAGTCGCTATCTACTGTTCTGATACGTTTTTTTTTTTTTTTTTTTAATTCTTCAACAGCCAGTAACCGCTTGTGTCTCAGTGGCTTTACTCCCTTGCTTGGGGTGAACTCGATTAAAAAAAAACAAAAAACAAAACCTAGATATCTTTATTCTGATATTTCTGATAAATTCCAGAAGTGAATATACAATATTTTACCTGTGGAAAATTTAGAATCGTTATTTTATTACTCTTTATATACAAATGAAATATCTCTGAAAAGACATTTTATTGGGTAAGTTAAAAATGTTTTCTCGGTGTAAGCAGTTAAGAAATAAAACTTGTTTCTTCTATTTTTACTTATAAAACGTCTTCTTCCATGATTTTCTGCCATCTTTCAAGTAGGTTAACTTCCCATATTTTTTTTTCTTTTTCAGCAAACAACTGGTCTAGGTAAATTTTTCCAGTTTTCTAGAAAATTGAAATCTTTTCCAGTAAACGAATTCTGTCTACACCTTAAGAAATTATAATACATAAAGGCGTAATAATCTCCTGAAAATAGCGGCAAAAAAGAAAACTTTTTCAGTAAACGAATTCTGTCTACACCTGAAGTAATGATAATATGCAAAAGCGTAATACCCCCTGAAAATGGCCGACGAAGGAAAACATCACAGCCAAAATGCAATAAGTCTTTCCAGGTCAAGGAAGAAACCTACGGTGTAGTGTTAGCTTGAAAGATACTATTTAAGAATAATATCTTTCCGTAAATAAATAGTGTACGTGAATAACGCCAGGAAGTACCAGTGTGTCTTAATGGAGTTAATGTCAATAAGAGGAGAATGTGTTGATCCTAATATTTATTACGTTCAGCTTAAAAGATGGCGAAATAGGCTAACATATACCAATTTGCATTTAAATATCTGGGTAGTGTACTAATAGATGAGGGAACGTTTGATGGAATGGACGATCAAGGATTGCGAAAGATACTTTTAAGAAAGTAAGCAAATTTTTCAGAATGATAAATAAAAGGAACAGACAAAATAACCACAATCAATAGAAAGCCCTCTTCCTCATTACGTGCCCCAGAAATTTCAGCTGCCTCTTCCTGATGTTAAGGATATATTCCCTTTTTGTTTCCATTTTCTCTAAAACCTTGTTGTTGATCACATATTCGGTTCATGGTATTCTCAGTATCTTTCTGTAGAACCACCTTTCTGTTGCTTTATGTCTCTTTTTCATCTCTAAGGAGATTGTCAAGCATTCGTTGTTATACAGGAAGACAGTTCAGTAGGTTTTTCTTTGTCTCCAACGAAATTATTTTGTCTCTTAATACTCTGCTTAGTTTTTGGAATGCGTCTTTGGTTATCTCAATACGTCTTTGGATTTCAGTGTCACGCTTTCCTTCTTCTGTTACAACACTTCCCAGATATTTAAATTGTACTTGACTAATGATTTTTTGTGAGTATCTCAAATTTAATTTTTAACTTTCGTAATCAAACTTTCGCAATAATAATTAAAGAAATTAAAATGAAAACATAAAAAATAAGATAAATAAAATAAGAAGGAAATACTGAATCATTTTGAGTATGACGTCAGTTTAAATAGTTAAACAGGTGATGGTAAGTTATCTTAAGCGTTTTTACAAAAATAATTTTCAGAAAAATATAAAAATTAACCGGATAATTAAATGTCATGTTATAACATGATTTAAATTTTGAAGGTTTTTTATAACATTATTTAAATTTTGAAGGTTTTTTATAACATTATTTAAATTTTGAAGGTTTTTTATAACATGATTTAAATTTTGAAGGTTTTTTATAACATTATTTAAATTTTGAAGGTTTTTTATAACATGATTTAAATTTTGAACGTTTTTTATAACATGATTTAAATTTTGAACGTTTTTTATAACATTTAAATTTTGAAGGTTTTTATAACAGTATTTAAATTCTGAAGGTTTTTTACAACAATATTTAAATTTTGAACGTTTTTCGTAACATTATTTAAATTTTGACGGTTTTTTATAACATAATTTAAATTTTGAAGGTATTTCATAATATTATTTAAATTTTGAAGGTGATTTTATTACATTATTTAAATTTCGAAGGTTTTTCATAACATTGTTTACATTTTTAAAATTTTATAACATTATTTGAATTTTAAATTTTTTAATAACATTTATTAAATTTTGAACGTTTTTCATAACATTATTTAAATTTTGACAGTTTTTTTATAACATAATTTAAATTTTGAAGGTTTTTTATAACATGATTTAAATTTTGAACGTTTTTTATAACATTTTTTAAATTTTGAAGGTTATTTTATAACATTATTTGAATTTCGAAGGTTTTTTATAACATTATTTAAATTTTGAACATTTTATAACATTATTTGAATTTTAAATTTTTTATTAACATTTGTTAAATTTTGAACGTTTTTTACAACATTATTTACATTTTGAACATTTAAATGTTATAAAGTTTTTAATAGAAAGCCTGATGCTATTTTTTAGTCATTAATAGAAAATAAAATAACAAATCAAATTAAAATTTAGTAAATAAATAAAAATAATTTAACAGTAAATAAGAATAAATAATGACGTCATCGATAATTTTGAATGTTATGAAGTTTTTAGTTCGTCTAATATTTTGAATTATATGACCGAAGGTGAATTTTGCTGAGTGTATTTTTCTACGATTTTTCTCTGAACAAATAATGGGGAAATTATAAAAATATAAAATCGAACAATTTAATTTCTCATGTCCGAACGCTTTTGAACATTTAAATGTTGCACGAAATAATTTTTTTTTTAAAGTCTCGAACAAATTTGAATTTTTTTTAGGGTTGATAACCAGATTTGTTTTTATATGTGGCGTATATAAATATTGTTAATGAATTCAATAGATTTATATGACGTTGACTAGCGGCGTATATGCAAAACTTAAAGACGGTGGATAGATTAATTTCTTTGAATTTTTATTCAACTGTTATCAGACAATCTATATGGAAAACTTATTTAAAATCAAATAAATTTTTAAATTAGCTGAAATTTCCTTAGGACTCACAGAGGTTAATAGAATTTCATCTTTCACACACACACACGCATGCATATATATATATATATATATATACTTTAATATCCTACTAACACATACACAAATATATATATATCAATATATATCAATATATATATATATATATATATATATATATATATATATATATATATATATATATATAGAGAGAGAGAGAGAGAGAGAGAGAGAGAGAGAGAGAGAGAGAGAGAGAGAGAGAGAGAGATTGGGTTTAATAGCAAAATTTCCCAAATCGTGTAACAGCACGGAAGAATTGTTCATCCACAAAATGTTTAATATCTAAAAATATGCTACATTTACTGAGTTTCTTTTTCTCAGGTTTTCAGATAAGACGTTTAGCCATCTGGACACCATTTGTCGTAAGGATCGTTGAAATACCCTTTGAGTTATTCAGCTAGAACGGAAACAGGTTACAATCGTTTTATGTAAGCCCACTATATCTTTCCAACTATGCAAGGGTGAGACGAAAAAAGATCATTCAGGCCTTCAGTAATGGTAGCAACATTCATAGTCTGGCTTCCATCTTCTAAGTCCATTCAAGAACCGCCAAGAGAACAGTGAATATGTTTAACAAAGTGGGAATAGTAAAGAGAAAAACTGGATCAGTAGGAGGCGTCATTCTTTCAAGCTAAAGGGATCAATCAGAAAAGATCCAGCTCAATTCGTAAGATGTTTGCCACGTAAGAAAGGAGTTTTAGCTATGACAGTTTAAAGAGCAGTGAAAGTAAGACTTGAAAACTCTGAGGCGTCTTTTGTGGAGATTTCAGAGTTTATTCTTAAATGCTTCCAGTGTTTTATATGCACGAGTCTGTCATTGCTTGGAAATCTTCCATGTAAATAGAAACAGACTATCATCACTATCTTTTCCGTGTATTGCTTAATATATTGTACAGTAATTGTCATCTTTGATAATGGCTTATGTAAACCGAAACCTTAGATTGGATTAAAAAATATGTATCAATATTGTGATTTTCTTTCTTCGTTTAATGATAATGCTATTAAGCGTATCATACGATATGAAAAGAATTTACATAAAATAAATAGACAACACTTGTCTATATTATTTAATGAAACATATATATATATATATATATATTTCAATCCTTTAACTATGATTAATTCATGATGAACATATCATTTTCGTTTACGAACGATTTCATCACGATCCTTCTGTTAAGCTTGCAGAGTAATTATACATGCCTATTGTTCAAAGTAGAAGTCCAATGGTAATATATAAACCTCGGAGAATTCCAGTAAAATAACTTAACTCATTTATAAGATGTAACGTTTCAAAACTTAATCTAACAATTAGACAATTTTGCTGTTACACGATTTGGACAATTTTGCTGTTACACGATTTGGACAATTTTGCTGTTACACCCCGTATACTCACACGCACACGCATATATATATATATATATATATATATATATATATATATATATATATATACATATATATATATATATATATATATATGTGTGTGTGTGTGTGTTTGTGTGTGTATGTGAGTGTATGTGTTCTCCACAATAAAAAAATCGCTTCATAAACAGAATTCTGACAAGTTTCACCTCCTAATTCTTGACTCCTTCTCTTCGATCGTGGAAGATTTTAATGAGCGTATTCCGCCTCCGAGATTGAAGTGAGCAAGTAGGCAAGTCCTCAAGAGATTCTGAACGATTCCCAGCCTCCCATCATTTACAACGTTCTGTAAGCACACATAGAAGGTGTACTTCCAGGCTGCTGGCTATCAACGCCTGGAGAGGGACGGGTGTAATTTCAAGTGGTGGTAGCGAATCCTTTGTCGCACCGACAACACTTTCGTGAGAACAAGGCCGAGAAAGATCTAAGAAACGCGCGAACAATATTTTCAGCCCAAGCGACGGGGATCATTAAGTAGAGAAAGCATAATCAGGAGCCCAATGAAACGAACTGATACCCCAGCACCCCCTTAGATTGAAAAGACCTGAGATCGAAATTCTGAGAAGGTTTCCGAATACGGTACACTTTTGAAGAAGTTTGAGACGAGTTAAAAAACTAAAGGAAAACCAACATAGGGAAACTCACCCTAAAAATGATAAAAAAAAAAGGATTCATATAGGCAGCGTAATGGTAATCGGCACGGAATGTGGAATAAGAGACCCGAGTTCGAATTACGCTGAGGTTTGTTCCGTTCACTTTCACATTAATGTCTTTGGGAAACGTATGAACCAATATCTCCACCCACTCAGCATTGGATTAAAAAACAGAGTAGGCTGGAAACTCTAGCCTTGAGTGGCAACCAGTTTAGGAGAAGAAAAGTTGAATGCAAAACATTGGAGGAGGTGACGCGAAACCATTCAAAACTCTTTGCTAAGAAATCATGGCAAATCAGTGATAATTAAGAACGGGAAGCTGTGGAGAGAAATGACCGCTTATGTCTTCAAGGTACATAATGTTAAAAGAATGTCATCATTATTTTACATGGATAAAATGTTTTAATATACAGGAACTAACTTTTTGATTTTGATATTAAGATGCAGAAAGTAAGATTTTGATTTCCTTTAACTGTGAAAAATAAAGAGAAAAAATAATTTGAAACACAAAAGCGTTAATTAAGAACTACCTTACTATCTTGGGTATGACGATAAACTCCATCCGGCATCAAATTCTCTGTTCGCGTGATTAGAGGTTTTGGCCGTTGAAGGCATACAATTGCGTTCCAAATATATTTAGTTGAAACCATAAAATTGTGTTCAAAATATTCAGATTTTGGTATTTAATAACCCATAGATGTGTTGATATGCCACTAAATAAAACAACCAACAACCTTACTTTATGGTATATAAGAATAACTTTTAAAAATGACTTTTTAAAGTAAATTTCACCCAATACATATAACTTGAAAAAGAATTTATTTAAGTACCATACTTTACAGTCCTGGGTATGGCGATAAAATACACCCGGCAGCAAAGCATCTGATCAAGAGACTGGAGATCTTGAGGAGCATGGAACCACCTCTTAATTGCTCTTGTTCTCAGGTTCTCCCTGACCCGGGGTGGTAGCACCTGTTAGGGTCCCAGCTATGGGCAAATAGGACAATCCCAAACAAAGAGAAAACATGATGAAAATATAAAAATAATTTTTCATCGTAAATATACCAGCAATACATTCTTAAAACAAAATGACCGACAATGCGTTTTATCTGCAGTTGAAGCCATAAAATTGTCTTCAAAATATTTAGATTTCTGCATTAAATAACCCACAAAGGTTGTTAGGCGGCTAAATAAAAGGAACCTTAATTTACGGTATAGACGACTTTAAAAAAAATAATTTTTTATAGTAAAGTTCACATAATACAAAGCTGAAGAGCCACTCAAGGTAGAGGGATACTGTGTGACATGAAAGTAAGAGGAGGTAGATTATGAGGATGAAGAAGATAGATAGTGATTGGCCCTTAACTTCAAGAAGATAAGATTTTCGTTGTCAGGGAAACATATGCACTGGAGTGTATTCTACAGAGTAGCAGTTCTTGGAAAATCATCTGTCTTGATTTCTTTTACAAATGAAATGCAGAGGAAACGACGCTGATTCGACTCTGTGGAATCCATAGATGATGGGGGTGAATATTGGTTCATACCTTTCCCAGTGAAATTAATGTGAAAATGAACGGAACAAACCTCACCGTAATTCAAACTCGGATCTCTCATTCCACATTCCGTACCGATTACCATTTCGCTTCATGGCGGGTCCTAGATGTAAAGATCTAGCCTAATAAAACTTGTATCAGAAGTTGAGAACAAGGCTATACTTTTGCCTCAGACAGTCAATTCTCCGTTTCAAAAATAATATTATTTACCCAAACAAAAACATTATTATTATTATTATTATTTTATTTCTTTTGATTTCTGGTGTGTACACATTACTTTCCGGGTCCCATCCAGAGACCTAAGGTTAGAAATGGCATCATGACATTTTCCATTGACCAATTAAGCACACACACATATTTTACATATATAAAGGCCTTCGTAAGGTGTGGGCTGTACTCATGAGAACATTTTTTGTATTTCTTTAAGGCATGGGCTTCCAGGAATCACTTCAATTAGTCTACTGGGACTCTTCAAACCAATCCGTGGGTTCCAACTACGACGGGGATTGTTGATGTTCACATGTTCCATATTTTTGAGGTTTCAATGTCAAGGTCCTTGTATTTTGATAGATTTTTTGACGATCTTCGAAAATACCTTACTGTCTGCAGAGACTGCCATATCAATAAGGAAGCACTTGTTTTTTGTTTGCGGTCTCTAATCACAATGTCTGGGCGGTTAGTTTTACTGTTATTATTGTTGTTGTTATTATTATTATTATTATTATTTCCTTTAATTTCTGCTTTATACACATTTTCTTCCGGCTCCCAACCAGAGACCTAAGGTCAGAAATGGCTTCATGAGATTTTCCACTGATCATTTTTGTTTAAAAACAAGCTAAGATTACACACATTTTATATAGATAGAGTTCTTCGTAATGTGTGAACGGAATTTGTGAGTACAATTTTTTGTATTTCTTTAAGATATTGGCTACCAGGAATTCCTTCAATGTGTCTATCGGAGTCTTTACTAATCTATCCGATTCCTTCATCTACAAATGGATTTCTTGATGTCTTCACATGCCATATTTTGGAGATTTCGGTTTCAAGGTCCCTGTATTTTGATAGTTTTTTGAAGCACTTCAAAGATAAATTACAATCTGCAGAAACTGTCATTTTATTCTTGTGGTCATTAGTCACGATGTCTGCGCGATGAGCTTTGATTGTTCTGTCTGTGTGTATTGTGAAGTCTCATAACATTGTTATAAATCCTATCTTTGTAACCGGGCCCTGGTGATGTTCATATCAGTTTATTGCAGTTTCCTTCACGTAAAAGTTGCATATTTTCCAGTACAGATTTGGCCCACTCTATCATGCGGGATTTTATATTCTATGAGTGCTGACACTGTGCAACCCGATACTAGATAGACAATTGTTTCTGGATAGTTATCACAGAATCTGGGGTCATCACAATTGTTCAATATCTGTTTATTATTATTACTATTATTAATAATAATAATAATAATATCGTGTTTTGAGTTTCCTCATTTGTTTTATAAGGTGTCTCCAAATTTCAACTTGAAACCTCAAGAGACAGAAGCAGAAGATCATAAGTAGAATTGATTGGATATGGAATTGACATTCTGTCATATAGGAAGAGAATGAGTAACTGCCGACACCGAGGTTCGAACGTGACACTCTGGACTTATGAATATATATTTTCCGCCAGGTGTATGAATAGCAGTGTCAGGCTACTGACTGCAGTGACTATTGAATGACTATTGAGTGGAACTATCCAGTCGAATTAGTGTGATTTATTGTGCGTCGATGATTTGGGTTTTGATTTACGATTTACCGGACGTTAAGCCAAACCGTGATACTAACAACGTATTCACTGAAATGGTTAATTATCTTTGGTTGACTTTTTTGTTCTTGTTAAGTATTTATTTGCAGTTATAATTAAATACTGTTTTTATATTAACATTGAAGTTTTGAGTGATACTTAAATATTTAACCGCTTCTGTACGTCACAAAACATTCTCAGCATCATTTAAATGTTTTTTTTTAATCCTTTAACTGACATTTTAAAATTGGAGCCTAAGTTCACAAAAAAGGCTTCGTAACACAATATTGTTTCTGTTATTCGTATCGTGAAGGGTTTGTTCATTTCCAAAATGGGAAAACCTTGAAAATTATTGTAGGTTAATTTAATCCCTTTTAGATTCAGATCCATGAATGGATATTGTTAAATAATTATATTCAAAATTATTATTTACGTCCCCGAGAGTGGTTACACTACCAATAATGATGAGGTCAGTTTATACTGTATGAAATCATAACTGGTATCAAAGGTTGACTGGTGATCTCATATTTTGTATAAACAATGCGAAACCATGAATTTTCAGGTTTCGTGTCACTTTTGGAGTATAGTGTGAAAGGTGAAATTGTGAGCTTTGGTGGGACTGGTCGTTAGGTACAGTTTTAGATATGTTGAACTTGTACTAGAATGTTGTTTTCATTTGATAAAGGAATTGTGAGTTGAAATGAGTGACACAAAGTAAATCTTTAAAAGAGGTCAGGTTTGTTTTGATCAAGGATAAGACACACTGTCAGATGGAAGGAGATGCTAGTGACACCTGTGATAATCAAGTCAAATGAAGGTGAGATAAAGTTGAGTATGAGCGATACAAAGCCATAATTTTGACTAGTCCGTCATTGAGAGAAGGCCTGGGATGGAGCTTGTCGTCTTCCCCTCAGATACAAGGCTATTATCTTAATTGAACCACCAATCATATTGGATTCTTGTGCGCATTGCTCCCCGCTTTCGATGTGCATGACACAAGGCCATTGGTCAAGTATTATTATTGTCTAGCCAATCAGAGCAGTGTTATTGGGGTTTGCACCCCACATAAAAGCAGTCACAGAAAGAGCAGAAGTAAGATCGAACTAATTTCGCAAGTAGGCCAACACTCTTCCTGTCAGATGTGATGTCTCAATCAGCTAAAGACTTTTCCTCTACGTCACTGTTTTTGAACTCCCTCGACTTAAACAGGTGAACAATTCTGGGCTGTTTAGCTATTACCGTCACTGCTAGTGAACCACTTCTTTCCAGCTTAAGAATTCCTTCTTCAGATCTCTTTTGTTTATGTATTGTCGTATCTCTTGCACTAAACCGGATGTTGACTGCTCGACGACCCAAGGAAGAATGCGAAAACGCGTCTCTGCGCATCATGGCTCGACGCATGTTTTCGGTATTAAATAAAAAAATGAACTTTATATATTGGCCAATAAAAATAACTCCCGCTAAAAGACACAGACTGTGATTTGGAGCCGATACGACGAATATAAATTCCTTGATTCAACGCCGCAGAAGAGAGAAGGAGAGAGGGATCTGGCTGAAATGTCGACACGCAGAGGTTGGTCAAGAACGCCGTAGGCAAACTGAGACTGAACGCGATACTTTTCAACTTTCATCCTTCGCCGCCGCCTTCTTCACAAGACATCAGCCAAAAGGCTATGACCAACATTCTTTTTCTTTCTTTCTTTCTTCCCCACTCTGTCGCCTTTTACAACATCAACGAGTAGTATGCTGGCTTTGTATATATGTAAATAAAGTATACATTTATTTACCCAAAATACGACGTATTCCTTTTCCTCGAATTTACGGCGAAGAAGAAATTAACCTCTTCAGCAGATACACCACAGTTGTGCCTTCCAGGTTACTCATTTTTCGTTTCCGCAACAGTACTCATGATTTTAATCAATAATAGTTTCATAGATAAAATTTGTTATTTTTACATTTGTTAATGGGTGTTACACAAGCATATTCAGGAGAGAGAGAGAGAGAGAGAGAGAGAGAGAGAGAGAGAGAGAGAGATAGAGAGAGAGAGAGAGAGAGAGGAGTCAAGCCTTAACTTCGACCAAATTTAGAGTGACATTCAGCGAAGCACACAGGACCACACTGCTCTTTAAACTTATAACAGTAGGAAGGTTAATTCATGCCTTTCTAAGAACATTAATGCTAAGTGAAAATAACAAATTCAGACAAAATTTGAACTTGGCACGCCAGTTACATTTTCCGCTCGCATAACCATTACATTTCTCGCCTATCTCAACTCGTAGCGCTGTATTCTTAACGAAGCAATCCGTTTACCATACGAGTTTCGGCCATTGAATCTATTCCTGTCCTGAGTGTTTTAAACACTGGTGACTAAACAAATAAACTGTTGAATAAGAAATGTTTGTTTCCATTAAATTCAATTTAAAGTTTGATCAATTATTTGCATTCTGCCAAGTCCTTATGAAACTGAATAAGTAAACAAAACATATTCTTAACGAGAAAGGAAATCTTCTCTATTGAGATTTTATATCATGGCTTCGATACCATCATTGACAATCTCGTTCGCATAGCATCTTCATGAAAACTCGGGAAGTATATTTAAAATTCTAAACGCGATAATTTCAATGGATCTATTATTAACAAATTATTTAACTTTATAGCTGAATATTAAAATAACATCATCTTTATATCTAAAATTATAAACGTGATAATTTCAATGGATCTATTTTTGAAAAATTATTTAACTTTACAGCTGAATAATAAAATATCATCATCATCATCATCATCATGTCCCATGAGCGGAAATTGCTCATAGGTTTGCTGCGCAACTGGGCATTCGACCAGTTCCCTCCGTATATTTCGCTTGAAAGTTGAAAAGGTATTCATTCATGAGCTGGTAGACATTTCAATAATTTATCATCGATTGACTGGTTAGAAAAAAGTTCTTATAAATTTTATTACAATTTACAAGGTGAAAATGATCATTAGTCTAATTTAATCTTAATTCCTATCATATAAAATATGTTGGTCTGTTTAATTAAAACATTGAGCTCTATGTGTGAATCAGTTTTAATATTTAATTTAGGATTCAGTTGGATTATAATATATATATATATATATATATATATATATATATATATATATATATCGCCCTTCAGCTATGGCTAAATAGCAGGACAGGCTGGGTTCTATAGCCTTTGATGGCAACTGGTCTAGGAGAAGGACAACTCTGAATTCAAAACCTGCGGAGGGTCGTTTGGGGACCTTGTGGCACGTAGTGCACCAGGTCTCTGTACTCGGCCCTTCAAAAAGAGTGGATGGTCCTGAACGAAACCTTCACCACTATAATCAGATCTCATGGGCTGTTGCCGGGCTTTCGGTTTCTTAGAACTGATCTGCTTTGACCCTTATAGGTTGAATTCGACGGGAGAATCAGAGTATATATATATATATATATATATATATATATATATATATATATATATATATATATTTCATTGAATACGACAGGCAAGGTGATTTGATTTAGTTTTTTTATTCAATTTCTCAAGAGATCGAATATTATTTTCAGGTGATAAATTATATAAAAACTGTCCGAATCTTCTTTTATTTCGAGCGCTTTCGGCAATACATTTAGCCATTTTCAAGGATGAACTATTTTAACTCTTAAATAATAAATATTTTCAGTTTTCTTTATGTTTATAGTTAATCCGAATGCGTTGCAAGCAATGGAAAAAACTATTGACGAGTGCTTGAGCTTTTTCGATTGAGGTGACCACAATCGCAGCGTCATCAGCAAACAAAAGATCAGAAATGATCGAGTCAGAGATTTTGCTTTAAAACGTTGATGTTTAAAGAGTGCGGAATTCAGAATTCACACCCATGTCAAGATCACTAAAGACATGGTGTAGCATGACCGAAAAGAAGACAGTACAGGTGCTATGACACAACCTTGCACTGTGCCATTTGTTACATCGAAGGCTTCTGAAGACTCTCCATTAGATAGAACAAATTCTATCATTCCTTCGTGAAACGAGATAATGTCATTTAGAATATTTCAGGTATGCCAAGCTTTTTGAGTATTTTCCAGAGGGCATCTAGGTTTACAGTGTCAATCGATTTGGTAAGATCGATAAAGACGGTATAGAGTTTATGGTACTTTTCACGAACTTTCTTAGAAAAAAATAACGAAATGTTGGACATGTATTGTTTTTATTTTATCCCGAAATTAAAGCAACTATACGAAGTTTAGAACGGCTCATGAACTGACATTTATTGTCTGCTATATTTAGCAATATATATATATATATTTAATTAATTCATCGAGTCTGATAGAAACCTCAACAGAATGCACTGGACGGCCGTTTCGTCCTATATTTGGGACTCATCAGCAGTGCGCATCCGCTACCGAGAATTGAAACCCTGACAGTTAGGTTGTCAAGCAAACAACATACCAACTGTTCCAAATGGGCCTCGGTGACGAAGATTCAACTTAGCGCCGCTCGCTCACATATTCCGTGGCGGAACTCAAGGAGGATTTGATAATTATATTTAAATCCTCCTACTAATTACTGTGTTTATCATCGCTTGAACCGGCTTCTAATGCTCCAGTTGGCAGCGGCTTGGTGAGAGTAGTCGTGGCTCCAGGGGGCACAGTCCTATGGTTACAGAGAACTCAGTAAGAGTTCCACCACGGAATATATGAGCGAGCGGCGCTAAGTTAAGTCTGATTTGGAATCTCTTCGTTGTCGAGGCCCGTTTGGAACAGTTGGTATGATGTTCACTTGACAATCTAACTGTCAGGGTTTCAATTCTCGGTAGTGGATGCGCACTGCTGATGAGTCCCATAAATAGGACGAAACGGCCGTACAGTGCTTTCTGCATTCTGTTGAGGTTTCTATCAGACTCGATGAATTAATTAAATATAATTATCAAATCCTCCTACTAATTACTATATATATATTGGAGAAAATCATTTTTTATTTATCAGAACAAATCAATGACAACGTTACTTAATAACAAAATGAAAAAGAAATGAAAGTAAATAGCATATAAAAAAAAAAACAACAAAAAAAAACATGGAAATTGCAGTGTCCCTTCTGCTTTGTGCGCATGTGCAGCTATATCAAGATAAACATCACATTTAATCTATTGAAGTCTTAAATTTAATTTGCTTGTTATAAATAATATTGTTCATTAAATAAAGGTGTTATCTTCGAACTAAAGAAATGACATCATCATATTATGGACCAGATTTTTAATTTGTAACGTTCTTCTCTATATGCTAAATGCTAAAACTCGCCTCAGGGGTAAAGGTGAAGCTCATCTGATAAAGACCCCGCTGTTTATATCCATCATTATCATAAATGAAAAAAAGAATCAGGAGGAGACGGAAAGATGGAAAATATCTTACAAGATTATTCATTCATTAATTCCTGGGGTAGGTACATCAAATTACGACGATATATTCATTCTATGCTACACAGTTCCATGGACGCGGACCTGGGATTTATTCTATAATGAGTCCAATGCAACAGGGATTTAAAGGATTTTTACTAAACTGATTGAGGACCCGAGCCTCATTAAAAACAACAAAATAAAAAAAAATTGATTTCAAGGTGGCGTATTATTAGCACAATTAGTGGTAGCGATATGGGAAATATTATTAAAGGAGCAAACGACGCTTTCTTTTCAATAATGTTGATCATAGATTTCATGTGGATTATTAATGCCTGAATAATAATAATAATAATAATAATAATAATAATAATCTTCAAAATAAAACTGCTTTAATTTAACCAGCATAGAGAACCTTTTCTGTCTGCCATCAGCATGGCTGACGCTAGACTCCAGGTAAGCAACACACTGCGTCTACTTGGCCTCATGTTTTCAAATGACTTGAAGTTGAACGAATCAATAGCTGCATCTACTGCAGGGAATGTTGTGTCACTGTGTCGTGCCAGAACATTTTTCTCATCAGAATCCATCTTGCACATTTACAAATCTAACATTCGTCTGTACATTGAATACTGCTGCAATATCTGGTCTGGTACTCCTGTTGTACATATCGAGATTCCTGACAAAATCCAAAGAAGGATCTGAAATGTAATCATCCTGGCCTAGCATCTCGACTTCAGTCACTTTCTCACCGACATGACGTGGCTTCCTTCTGTCTTTTCTACGACTATTTTCATGGCAACTGCTCTGACGAGTTTTTTTCCCTGGTGCGTGACTACATGAATTTAAGCATGCTACTAGATTGCCAACTCGGTCCCACCCTTTTACTGTTGAAATAGTTAACTGTAACTACAACTTCTACTCCAGCAGTTTCTTTCCTTTTACTTTCCGCCTGTGGAACACCCTTCCATTTACTTGCTTCCCTGATAATTACAGTGATCAAAAATTAATTTCTGTCGACTTGAAACCTGTTCATTTTTAGGTGATGAAAGTGATAAGGAAGATAGAAAACCTGAAAGCCCATAGTCTTGATTATGTACAGAGATATCGGATTAGGGGCTTCCATAGTTATTAAGAGAGAATTTGTAATATTGTGTAGATCATAATAGTGTTCCAAAGTGGATAGATCTTTGTCGGTCGATGCTAAGACAAACAGAAAGACCAAAGTAAAGCTGGCAAGTAAATATCGACCAATAACATGCCTACCATTAGTTTGGAAGTTGATGACAAGTATCATAGCTGAGTAAGTTTATGTTTAATTAAATTTCAATCATTACTTCCCGAAGGTCGAAAGAGTTCAGGAAGAACTGATATGGTATCAACGACCTCATTCATCGCTAACATGATATTGCGTGAGGTGAAACTAAGAAAACAAATCTTTCTAAGGATAGACTACAAGAAAGCCTAAGACATGGTGCTACAATCCTGGAGTCTATAGTACCTTGACACTCTTGATATTTCAAATCAAATTATGCCGTTACTGGAACATAATATCTGGTCATGAACTGTAGCAAAATAAATAAATAAATAAATAAAAGAGAAAACGAATCACTCATTTATTGTTCTTGGACGACTTGAAATCTGGAATGTAAGACTCGACATTCTTTGATTCGGAATGTTTGGGTGTCAAGTGATGATATTGGGATAGGATTGAGAAATAGTTGAGTCCAAGAGAATATGAATACCGGATGTAATGAGAAAGGAGAGAGTGATAAGTACCTGGATATTTTACAGGCCAACTAAGTGAATCCTACTGATAAGAAAGCAAAAGTTAAAGAAGAATGTTTCAAACGTGTAACGAAATTCTTTGAATCAATGATGGAAATATCATGGAAATATCATCCAAGAAATTAATACTTGGACAATCTCTCTGTTACACTATTCTGCACAATTCTTCGATTAAAATAATACAGAACTAGAATTTTTTACAACACTCTGACGTGGGTTGAAATCCTCACAATATTTAGTATTGTTGAAATTATCGCTAACATTTTTTGTCAAGATTTAAAAACTCTATGTTTCGTTCAATTTCACAATCTGATGAAATTTGAATAAATTTAGAAAAATTCTTTAACAAAACCCCAACTTCGCGGTTTAATAATTTCTTTAATTTAATTTTATAGAACTTCATGTTGAGCAATAATTCTTAAGAAAAATTATTTTTTTCCTTTTTAACAGAGAAGAATTCTTAATTCATGCAATATATAACAGGCCATGCGTAAATATTTATTTCTTGGCCCTAATTCCAATTGCTTGAATCGTTTGGCTTTGTGATTTATCTATAGTTCTCGCAAACTTTGGGCGAACTGGAAAATGGTTTCTAGTATATAAAATGGTTTCTAGTATAAGAAAAGATATCAGAAACAATATTGCATTTTTATTAAATAAGTATTTGTTATTTTAATCATTAGTTTTAAGATAATGAGATTATTTTGTTAAATGATAAAACTTTTAATTTTTCCAAAAAATGATGATTTATTGTACTAAGCCACGCACCCGAGTAAAACTAATTGTACTTTGTACCCACTTACCTGTTTGCACTTCTCCCCAAAATTTGGTCTCGATCGGTCAGTTTACGGACATTTTAGAGGGTTTGACGGACGGACTAACGTAAGTTACAGAATTTTATACGTAGATTAGAAGAGATTTTGAAATACATTTATCTGTCTATATCTCTGAGATGAGGTATTATGATTACTTGCATTAGTTACATTATTCGGATTGTTATCCTTATCTTCATTGTCATATTAACAACGTTTCGGACGTTGTACGCTCCGGCCTTCTTCAGGTGATTGGAATTTCGAACAGAACCCTTTATTTCGTCCACCGGAGTATATTGTAAAAACAGATGTCTATGAAAATGGCCTGTCATAATAATTTCAACAGCCAACGCATATTATTAAAGTAAGACATTTGGTGATGTTTAATATGGAAACAATCAACCTTCATTTGGTCGACAAGCTATTGTATTTGCGACGTCATGATGAAGGTACAGAAGAAGAATTCTGTCTATGGAAGAAAATTGTTGATGCCCACGCTGCTGGAAATTTGTATAAGACAATATCTGAGAATTTTAATATGGCTAGATCAGTTGTTCGTAACGAGACGATGTGGTAGAAAGAAGCTTTTTTCAGAATGGTATGTTCGGTTGTTTAATTAGAATGGTCAACAATGATCAGCAGATAACAACTGCAGCGATGAAAGCCAATTTGACAGCTACTGGAGTTCATGCTTCAAGGTCAACAATTACTCGAATTCTCAATTGAGGTGGCTTGAAGGCATGCCTCCCCGGAAGACGCCATTCTTGAAGAAAATTCCAATTAGCTGCTCGTTTGAAGTTTGCGATGGATTTTCTGAAGAAATCTGGACGTCTTCTGTCGTCTGACGAAACCAAACCCGAGTTTTTCGATAGTACCACGGATTGGAGGGAAGAGTAGAAGTCTACAACTCGAAGAATACCGTCCTTAACATCAAACATGTCGGAGGCCAGCCGTGGAGCTGCTAAATTCATTCGAATTAAAGAAACGATAAAAAAAAAGAGATTTATATCGTTGTCTTAGACAAAAACCTGAAATGATCGGCAAAGCAACTGGGATTATGACACCGTTGGATTTTCATGCAGACAATGATCCCCACGCAAACCTCATTTTTAATCTAAAATTGTTAAACCGAAACAAAGATGGATGTACTCCTATAACCGGCTCAATGTCCTCATTTAAACCCCATAGAATAATTATAGTGGGAACTAAAGAAGAGTAAAATTAAGAAGGCCATCTAATTTGATACCGCTGGAAGAATATGCGATTGTAAAATGCGCTAAAATTCTTTCTGATTTGTGCCTGAAGCTAATCGAAAATTACACTCGCAGATTGAAGAAATTTATTACGCATAAAGAATACATTATTGATTGTTAATCATTGAATCACGTGCAGGTGCCAATCTTTTTGAACGATTTAATTATTATGTTATTTCTTGCTATTTTGTTTTGCTCGTTAAAAAAATAGTATTGGAAATTTAACTTTTGTTTGATATTCCTTAGACAGTTGTACCTACATTGATCAAAATCTATTTATGTAGACAATAATTTTAGCAAGAAATTCAATAAGAACACATTTTTGACAAGAGGTCTCAATAATTGTGTACGTGAGAGCTTATCGGTTAAGACTGAACTGATAAGAAAAACAACACAACTGTTGTTTTTTATTTATTTTTATTATTTTATTTTTTTCTTAACCCCAGAATTTGGTGGGTCACTTTATATGCCAGGATTAAAAAGAAATTACGGTTTCATTGTATTTTTTTAATAAACCCATTCAATAATTACATACCTGACAAAAAGACATTGTATTTAAATACTGTTATTTTATCTAAATGTTAAACTCACTTCTTGCTGTACGCTTATCTTGAAACGTTTGTAGATTAATAGAGGATAAATAAAATTCACGTACGTCAATAAATGTTAAATTTTAATGATAATAATAATAAAGATGGCTAACGCCCTATAAAACACGTCGACTAGTAAATGACTGGAGGCTAATGAGTTCAATGTTAGCAGATTTTTGCAAATAAATTCTTCAGTATTGAAGAATAGAGTAACAATCTTCTATAGGTAAATAAAAGATCATATTTTTTTATGGACTTGAAGTTTCGAATTGATACAGATCTGTTCGTCAGGGCAAGATAAATCTATTGAATTTACTCACAGATATCATAATTATCATTCAAGAGGTATTAAATAAATAATCCTATTTTAATAAATAGAATTATTAGTAATAATTAAATATTTTAATAGATACAATTATTAATAACTAGCAGCATGGCCCGGCGTTGCCCGTGCTTGATTCAAAAATCGTACGACTCATACAGCAATCGCTATCACTTGACTTAAAATAGTTTTGCCGTTCCTTGCCTTTAAAGGAGTGTCCTTTGCCATGCTGATGTTGCTACATGCCTTACTTCTTGCCTATCTCACACTGCGAATTTTTTCTATGCTCTATACTAAACATTAAATCTGTTATGAAAAAAGAACTAAACAAAATGAACACAAAACCATCAGCTTTAAAAAAGGACTCGTAACTGGAAAAACCGAATGAAAAAAGAATGTTAACAACAAATACTTTTTCACACCCAACCCAGTTCTGCGGAATCAGAATCAACGTTGAGTTTAAGCAAGTGAATCAGCCAATTGGAGTAAAGTGCCATGCAGATTTAAATTTTTCCCACTTGTGACGAATGCAGCTATCGATTTTTTTGCATGCTAGCATGCTAGTTAACATTCGTGTCAGTCAGCTGTTGGCTCTCACGCTGGCCAATAGAATCTTCCTGCCTATTCGTGGCAGCCAGCTATAGGCTCTCACTCTGGCCAGTACAAAATGGCCGCAAACTACATGTAAACTGCCGTAGAAGCATGAAAAAATCGATTATTTCCACTATCGATGGGAGTTGGGAAATGCAAAGCCAGTTTTGGCTTTCCCGCTAACTTGGAGCATGTGCATGTACATTTTGGTGGAAATCCGTCAAAAATTGCGGCCGTGCATTCGTTACACACACACACACACACACACACACACACACACACACACACACACATCCTGCCTTTTATAGGTAGAGATAACTAACTAAATAAATGTGATATTAATGGATACAATAGTTTTATCTTAAACTGGCGAGTGGAACGGTATTTCTGCAAAACTGCGAATTTGGAAGATTGAGTAATTTGATTCTTTATTTATATATTTACTAAGTTTTTTTTAATGTTCAGTATTTGAAATCATTACTGGTTTAGTTTGTAAATCTCGCCAAAAAATGTTAGCGATAATTTCAACAATACTAAATATTGTGAGAATTTCAACACACGTCAGAGTGTTGTAAAAAAATTCTAGTTCTGTATTATTTTAATCGAAGAATTGTGCAGAATAGTGTAACAGAGAGATTGTCCAAGTATTAATTCCTTTGATGATATTTTCCATCATTGGGTCAAGGAATTTCGTTACACGTCTGAAACATTCAACTTTATTTTTTTGTTTTCTTATCAGTAGGATTCACCTAGTCGGCCTGTAAAATATCCAGATACTTATCCCTCCTTGGTTCTTTCTCATGACTTCTCTATCCAGTAATCATATCCCCTTGAACTCAACTATTTCTCAATCCTATCCCAATATCATCACTGGACACTAAAACGGTCCGAATCAAAGAATCTCGAGCTTAACATTCCTGGTTTAAAGTTAAATTTCATTGTTGTACGTTTAGGGAAAATCAACAAGCCAAATATGTCTTTGTTAGCAATACTCTGCTTGAAAACGCGCTATAGATACAAAAAGGGAAGATATTTAAAGAACATGTAGAACGTTTGAGTAACCTTACTTTTATTACTCGAATGTTTCTGTCAGGCCTCATAGGTAAATTCACTGTTTATCTGCAGATTTGTAAGAACTAAAACTTGTTTAATACGACTTAGCATCTCTGATATGATTTCTTCTTCATAAGCGACATGCTTACTATTCCTTTTATAAATATTTGGAAATGGTTCAACATTAGTCTCATTTTTAAATTCTTGACGGTAATTTGGCTTACAGTAAGACTGGATCAAGTCAAAGTAGATCAATATGAAAAGTATTTTCCTGCGGGTAAGCACACGGATATAATTGTCAGAATCAGATTTAATCTTTAAAAAGCTTTTCTAAGCTCTAGTAGTGGTATTGGAGATATTTTTTCTCCATATTTTCCTTCTTTTTTTGACTTCCAACACAGGGGAACTGGGTTCGAGTTTCAACTGGAAACTGATTTGTTATCACGGCTTATCAACCTTTTGCAGGTTATTTTAAGCCAGGGAATATTTTTTTGATTGTAAGAATTTTTTGTGGCTGGGGAGATAATAATAGTTTAGTGACTCAAATCTTACTAATTAACCCATCGCTGGGAACGAGAAGAGGTGCATTCCTACCTTTTCCAAGGATATGTGCGCGTAAGTTAATATAACGAACCCAAAGGGAATTGGAACTCGAATCCCCGATTTCCAATTCCGAGCTGTTATTCATTACACCACCTGCACACCGAAGCTTACATCATCTGATATTCGCAAACGGTCACCTATCTAGGTACTGACCAGGCTCAGCGTTACTTAACTTCGGTGATGGTACATGTTGTGGTGTCCTCCCTCTAAAGAGTCTATGTTGGACTCTTCCGCCTACTATAAAATTAGTAGGAAAGAAGGCCTTGGGGGAAACAGTCGAATAGATTGAACGCTGGGTCAACCGACACACACTCTCTAGTTGTGTAATACTCTTCTGTTGTACTTACTGTTTAATATATGATATATCTGCAACACTTGTTTTGTTATTTCTTTGACCATTGACTTGGTCACAAAAGTACAAAAATCGGTGTTTCACCGTGATGTTGCTGTAAGCCTTTATCAGGAAAGTATGCTTTATTATTTTGATCTGAGCTGTTTGCTTAATGCTGTAAACAGACGGCTCGAACAAATTAAAATAAAATATTAGCGAAAAATTAATAATAAAATTGCTAGGTATTGTCTTTTACTCAAACAAATGCTGCACTAGATTAAATGAAGTACGTTATGTATTGTCGTAGCACGTCAAATTTTTAAGGAGACAATTCTTTGTACAGTTTCGGAATCAGCTTACTCGATTTTGTGATTTTCTTATCAAGGGTATCGAAAAGTATGTGTACAATATTACGCTTGCGCATAACGCTAAATCCTGCATTCTTATTTCGTCTATGTGCCGTTTTCCTTCAGGACATTGACGATCATGACTTTTAGCCTCTCCCCCAAACCTTGCTTCGCCATCAAGCTCGCGAGGTAGGTTATGCGTTATTTTTCTCTGTTCTTCTTACCGTCAATGCTCTGTGGGTATCAAATTTTTCAAGCCCTCTTTCCTCATTATGTGTGCGAGAAATTTCAACTATCTATTCCTAATGTTAAGAATAATTGTCCCTTCCATTGTATCTAGAACTTCGTCGTTGCTCACATGTTCAGTCCATGTTATTCTCAGCATCCTTCTGTAGAACCACATTTCTGTTGCTTCAACTCTCTTCTTTATCTGTGAAGAGATTGTCCAGCATTCATTGCCATATAGGAGGACTGATATTACATAATATTTCAGTACTCTTTTCTTTGTTTTTAGCGAAATGTGTCTATTTCTAAATCATCTAATTTGATCGAAATTCAAGAAAACCTTTCGTGACTGACACCGGTTTCGTAAATGCTGAGAAAGAGCAAAATATAGCAAATATGGCGACGATCATTTTGATTTAAACAAAATCATTTTATTTCCAGTTTTTAAAATTCAATTATTAAACATAACTTTGTTATTTTGCACGCCAATCGACCAGATTTCATTAGAGGGAAGAATTTGTTAATTCAATAAGCTTTTTTTTAAATAATATTTTTCTTGTTTCACGTTAGTTCAAAAGTCACATCGTTATGTATTTTTATAAACCATACTATTAAAATTTTCG